CTTCTTGTCATGGACATTACCTGGCCATTACTCTTGGGCAGTCTTCTTTGTTTCTTATTTAAAAATCCTAGCAATAAAATACAAAGAATGGAACTAAACAACTTATAAGTGGACAATCACCCCAAATCAAATAAGCAGCCAGCACCCAAGGCAATCACTAAAACAGGCAGTGCCTTGAGCACAGAAAGCTCATTGCTGGGATTAGAAAAAATGCCTTTCCTTACTCCATTAAAGTTCTGTCTCCTCTCCTGTCCCTCTCTTTTTGCCTCACAAAGGGAAATTAAGAAGTGATACAAGATTTTTTAAAAGTTTCTATTTTTATATATGACAATACCTAAGCATTCTAACAGAGCATTATGGAAGTGTTAACACAGTTGTAAGAAGAAAGGTTGGGGAGCAGAAATAAATAATTCACTAGCAGGTAAGTTCTCCAAGGACCAAGATGAAGGAATTTATTCACTGATATATTTTATGCTCCTAGCATAGTCCCTGCCATAGGATAAGCTTTCAGAGAATATTTGTTAAATGAATGAATGATAAATAAATTAAAGAAAAAAATGCTATTTTCACATACAAATTAACCTAATTCTGGACAATCTGCTGTGATTTTGCTTTTCTGTGTTTGTAAAGAAGTTGATGACCTGATGCCAAATAAATGCATATAAGGAGACACCTTTAAAAAATAAAGAAAAAAGGGAAAGAGTTACTGTCATACAGACGTGAATTCAAATCTCAATTCTATCACTTCAAGTTCTATGATGTTAGTCAATTCACTTACACCCTGTGAGCCTCAGTTTCCTCATTTGTAAAAATGCAGGTTATAAAAACAATGAAAGGAGATTACTGTAAGGACTAAATAATATATATAAATCAATAAGTATAGATATGGTATAGAATAATTTCTTAATATATGGAAGATATTTTTATTATCTGACTAGAGGCCCAGTGCATGAAATCTGTGCACGGGTGCGGTCCCTAGGCCTGACCGGCAATCAAAGTGTGAGGGTCTGGCATGGAAAGGCAGGTCCCAGCTGACCTCTGGGCCCTGGGTAGCACCTGGGCCCCCAGAGCCCCAGCGCACCCCTCTCCGCCTGTGTTATTGGGCCCCTGCCCGGCTCCCTGCAGGGCGATCAGTGGGGTCATCGGCCTGCTTGCACCCGCCTTGGCCTGGAGCCACCCACTCACCTGCCCCACCATCCCACCGTGGTCCCGCTCTCATCAGGGCCTATCGGGGCCGGCAGCACCTCCACTGCCGCCTGCTGCCAGCGCCGCATCGCCAACGCCCACCATGTTCTGCGTCACCCCCTGGTAGTCAGCACACGTCATGGTGAGTGGTCGCACTCCCGGTCGAACTCCCAGGCGAGGGGACAATTTGCATATCAGGCTTTTATTACATAGGATTATCCTCACTCTCCTATTTAAACCATTTATATATAAAAAAGCCTAAGCGACCGTTCGACCATTAGCTATGATGCGCACTGACCACCAGGGGGAAGATGTTCAATGCACAGGCATGGAAACATGGAACAGACTGATGAATCTCAGAGAGAAGGGGGAGGGGGGAGGGCGGGAAGAGATTAACCAAAGATCTTATATACATACTAGAGGCCCAGTGCATGAAATTCATGCGGGGGTGGGAGGGGGGGAGGGAAGCCCTCAGCCTGGCCTGCACCCTCTTTAATCCAGGACCCTCAGGGGATGTCCGACTGCAGGGACTATATACATACTAGAGGCCCAGTGCATGAAATTCGTGCGGGGGTGGGAGCGGGGGGAGGGAAGCCCTCAGCCTGGCCTGCACCCTCTCTAATCCAGTACCCTCAGGGGATGTCCGACTGCAGGGACCAGGCCAAAACCGGCAGTCCAACATCCCCCAAGGGGTCCCGGATTGGGAGAGTGCGCAGGCCAGGCCAAGAGACCCCACCAGTGCACAATTCTGTGCACCGGGCCTCTAGTTTGAATATATAATAATAAATGGACCATCAAATGCGTATTGGTCACCTACTGTGTACCCAGTACTTAAACATCAGCAAAGAATTAAAAATTTCTAATTTAGAAGCCTTAATAGTACTAACATTTATTGAGCATTTACTATCTATACCTAACACTCTCTGGGCATCCATTTACTTATATTATTTAAGTCATGAAGCATCTGTTCACGGCAGACACTAAATACAGTAAAATGCAATACTTAAATAATGTTCAGATGTTGGTCATTCATAAATCTCAACACTATGAAGTTAAGAGAGTGAAAGTTTTATTTTATGATTTAGAACAACTTTGCAGAATACTAATTATAATGTGTGACAGAATACAGAGGATACTCTCAACCATTCAAACTCTTCATGTGACAGATAAAGGATGCTGAAAAGTTTGAATGATTTGTTCAAAACCATATAGCATATACATTTTTAATTTTCCTTGCAGGACATCAGATCCTGAGATCAGATTACTCAAGAGATATGAAGCAAATATAACAAAATATTAACTTTTTTTTATTATTGAGGTTAGTACAAATAATATTTATAGTGTTTTCCTCTGAGTTTTTCTGTACCTTTAAAATTTTTAATTAAAAAATTGCTTCAGCTGCTTATGTACTTTCATTTTCAAAGCAAATATATTATCAACCTTTATATATACCAGATTTCTAAAAACTCTAGGTCTCAAATTTTTCTTTCTTTTTTAATGACAGTACGGCAAAGCACAAAGTAGTTCAGACAATAAAAGATGCATACAATTCTCTAGAAGTCTTGGCAGTTTTCTCCATAATCAAATTCTTTCCCTAATGAACTACAGTCTGCAAATCTTAAAATAATGGAAGGTTTAAGAACAAAATCAAAACAAGAAAAAAAAGAAATATCTTTCATGCCTCATACTCAGAAAGGCATCTTCATCATAATATACATAATTCTCATTACTTGCTTCAACCCTTGACCCAAAACACAAATATGTACAGTATTTTTCTTTATGTGAGTTCTATATTCAAGGACAGCATGAAGCTCCAAAAGAAGACACACAGTATTTTGAAGTGTACAACTGATTATTTAGAGCCAGTCAAACAAGGTAAATATAGCGTATGCACTTCCAGTACAGCAGAACTTCCAAACCCAGGCAATGTTGAGAAGTGAAAGACATTAGGACATGAAATTCAGATAATGATTCAATAAGAGGCCAAGGATTTGGTGTGCAAGAAGGAAGGAATGAGAAAGGCAAAAGCTCTTGCTTTGAAACAGAGTCTGTAAGCTAACAAATGCCAGTGCATTAACACTTTCGGAATCTGGGTTTCTGGGTTTGGATTAGCTGTTCATATACAGCTAACACAAGAATTTTGGATAATAAGAGTTAATTGTATTTTCAACTGTGTTAACAAAATTAAAATGAATTGTAATTATTCCTCATTACTTTAGCTTTCAGAAATGGTTATAAGCTACACATTTGTCACCAGAAAAAGACTGCTATCTCCTGCCAAACTCAGCATCAGGGAATGTCTTTAATGGACCGCTTTGATAAAGCCTTGGCACCACACATCCCTCAGATACAAAATGGAACGTTAGGTCTGGCCAAGTGTGAATTTAGTAGACCCCTCAAATGTAAGATGCAATCAATGAGGTTCTCCCCTTTCCCACTGTAAGCTTACACTTCTGGGAATCACCACTTTCTTGGTCCCAGAACTATCATAGTTGGCCAAACTGTCTGTGACCACAATCAACCACAACTTACCAGCCTGTTGTTGTGGTCCCTGTACGGTTTCCACATTAACCCTGAAACTACTTGGGGCACTGATGCTAAATTTGTATAGTACTTCTAACTGTTCAAAACACATTCACACACACTGCCTCACTTCTTCCTTTCAAAATTCCAGTGAATAATATCTAAAATTCATCTCTTCATTACCCCCAGCCTGCTCCTCCCACCATGTTTCCTGTCTCCAGGATGCTACCACTACACAACCTGCTGGTCAAGAGACAAAACCAGAAGTCATCCTTGCCTCCTCCTTCTCCTTGATTACCATCCAATTACCAAATGAAGTTGGTTCTACCTCCAAATTGCTGATTATCTCCAGTTCCATCTCGTAAAGTCAGGCTACAATCATCCTCTGCTTTGGATCACTGCACTGGCCTCTGTGAATCTGGCCTCAGCTTCTCCAATATACTCCACATTATTGTACTTTCTGCTTAAATTTTTGCTGACACTCCAGTACCATTAGGTAAAGTCCAGACAAATATAATGCCCTTCACCATCTGAACCCTTGCCCAATATTCCACCCCATTTCTTCCTTACTAAATCCGTCCCTGACATCCTATATTTTGGCCACACTGAACTCCTTGGAATTTCTTGATTGTGACACATTTTCCATACAACCATGCCTCTTTTTTGCTGCTACTCTGATGGGTATCCTTCAGGACTCCACTTAGAGGTCATTCCTTCCAAGGAGAGAAACACAGTACTCACTGACCTGCATTCCCACCCAACCCAGGCCGGGTTATAAACCTGTCCTGTACATCCCCAGACACCCCAGAGTTCACTTCCATTAGTCCCTATTGTTTGCCTTACTCATCATTTGCTGCTATCAAACTCAAAGCTAAATGAGAGAAAGAATAATGTCTTATTTATAAGTAAGTATTGCCAGAGCCTAGCACCAGTGCTCAATGTATGTTTCTTAGTAGATGCTCAATAAATGCTTCTTGAATCAATAAAAGTATAGATTTTATGTCATTTTACAAATTAGAAAGCTGAGTAACAAAGCAGTTAAAGTCACAAACTAATTCAAAGAACTGAGACCAAAGGCCAAGCCTTGCGAATCCTGGCCCTGTAAGAGACAAGCCACCACATTTTGCTGGTTGGAATGTTAACAACTGGGAGCAAAATCTGAATGACAGTTTCCCCTATGACCCACACAGAATAAGCATTACACTCAGTGGGCCTTCACACAGCTCCATTCTCAGACAGGCGCCCGCCTTTCCAGTAGCCATCAGCCTGATTTCAAAGGCTATATATACTACCTTTTCCCTCTGTCACATGTTGAAGTAACTTCTCAAGTTCAGGAAGTTTCAGCAACAAGATGCAATTCGGAAACATATCATCCACCACAACTTGATCTAGAGGCTGGAACTTTCCCTGAAAAAAAGACTTTAGTCAGTAAGAATGCAAGCACACCAGTCAAAAAATCCACACATTAAAAAAAAAAAAAAGATACATTACCTCATAACTGGACTTTTAAACTAAGTTCAAAGTCACTTGTTCACCCAGGGAATCCCTAAACTGGGACAGGCTCCAGAACTGACTCTCAGCTCCCTTTAGGAAGCCCTTAAAAGAGTTTCTACCTCATGAGTACAATAACTGGATAAAATTGGGCAACAAAATTCTGGAAAAGTACTGGAAGTTATGGAAACTTGCAAAGATGGTAAATTACCTGGGGCTGGTCTAACCCATTTAATTTGAAAAAGAACCAGCTGATGTTACAGAGCAGGAGTCCTGACCATAATCCAGAAATAAGCCTAGATCAAGCCCAGTGTGTACATCTCCTCTCCCCTCCTCACATCTCCAGTGCTTTAAATACCACAAAAAAAAGAAACATAGCAAAAGTGAATCTACTCCTGTCAGAGCTGTCTGACAATGCTTTCAAATTTAGACCATAATGAAAGAAGAGATAGGAGGATGAATATAAGAACTTGCAGACACATTAAATCAGGCTCAGCTTGATAAGTGTATGTGGCCTGGTAGCCAAGTGCAGGACACAGAAATCCAGATCATCCTTCTTCTCAATCAGGTTTAGTTTTTCTTAACTTTACTTGTGGCCTGGAGAGAAGTCTAAGTTATTAGTCACCTGACTTAGGGATATCAGACTTTGTAAAGGTATATGGTTTTGCTCATGTCCCACTTCTAGCTCACTCTACTTTCTGTGTTAATGACAGTTCCACTTGAAGACAGAAAACCTGTGTCTGATCAGTTTTCTTTCTGCAAATACAGCTTTCTTTGTTTTAAGGGTAAAAGCTTCTCATTCATTCAGTAGCATGTGTGATAGCTTGTCATGCTGTCAGTTAGGTTAACAAGTGGCAAGAAGTGCCTCAATTTAAATGTTCTCTTTTTCCTTCAGACAGTAAAAATAATTCACAGATTTCCTAAGTCTTACTGTCTTTAGATTTCTATCTTAATTTATATTCTTCCATGATCAACATTTTAAATATTTACCTTAAAACAACATTCTACATATATATAATGGACTACTACACAGTCATAATATAATTTCAAAATTAATGTTTCATTTCTTTTTTCTTTACCATCCTATATAATAAAGAGGTGATATGCGAATTAACCCTCATGTCATCACAAGATGGCTGCCTACGACCAGGCCAGTAGGGGGGTTAGTGAGACCAAATGACATGACTGAACAGCAGGGGGCAACCAGGCTGGTGGGGGGGCCGTGAGGGGCGACCAGGCCGGTGGAGGGACAGTTGGGG